GCTAAGGCTACTGTGAAGTGCTGGCCATTTTCCTCATGGGAATGGATACAGTGCTGGTGCTTGCCGAACACCAGCCACCCCCTCCCAGTGGGTGCAATGACAGGCTGAGTGTCAGCTGTCCCCACCCTAGAAACAGGGACAGGCGCAGGAACAGGCCAGATACCAGTTGCCTCCACTCAAGGAACAGATTCCGGTGCAGAGGAGGACTTGGCCATGGCTGCCCTCACCTGTGGAGTAGGTGACTGTGGAATAGCTGTTCAGCTGTGCTTCCCAGGTGTTTTCACTTTGCCCATTTCCTGAGTCCTGCACAATGGGTCCAAAACCTGTTGACAGCTTACCATAACACAACGCTAACAAGCTCTACAACTTCAAAATGGCCTGACCCGAAGACCAAAATAACAATCTTCACACATTTAATGTTACATTAATGTTTCATCACTAAGTACACACATGTCTATACTTTTCAAGAAACTTACACTTTCACTGATCTTTACAGTAAAAGTAAAAACAATCATTCATTCCTGGACTGCGCTGTGCACATTGAAGAGAACGGCAAACTCAACATCGAAGTTTACCGGAAGCCCACACACACGGACCAGTACCTCCTCTTTGACTCCCATCACCCTTTGGAACACAAACTTGGAGTAATTAGGACCCTACACCACCGGGCAGAACATGTTCCCTCTAAGCCTGAAGGGAAAAAGAAGGAACACACACATGTAAAGGAAGCACTCAAAACGTGCGGCTATCCTAAATGGGCGTTCTTAAAGTCAGCAAAGAGGCACAGAAAAGAAGATCAGACACCAGCGAGGGAGGACAGACGCAACAACATTGTCATCCCCTATGTAGCCGGCGTATCAGAGAAACTCAGGAGAGTTTTCTCCAAGCATGACATCCCAGTGTATTTCAGACCCAGCAACACGCTCAGACAGAAACTGGTTCACCCGAAAGACAAAACGCCAAAACACAAACTTAACAATGTGGTGTATGCTGTACAGTGCAGCGAGGAATGCTCAGACCTCTACATTGGAGAGACCAAACAGCCACTTCACAAGCGCATGGCACAACACAGAAGAGCCACCTCCACAGGACAAGACTCAGCAGTCCATCTGCATCTTAAGGATAAAGGACACTCTTTCGAGGATGCCAATGTTCACATTTTGGACAGAGAGGACAGATGGTTTGAAAGAGGAGTGAAAGAAGCCATCTATGTCCACTGTGAGCGACCATCTTTGAACAGAGGCGGGGGTTTACGACACCAACTCTCTGCCATCTATAATCCAGTTTTGAGATCCCTTCCCAGACGCCTTAACGCCCACTCACATCCTGGGCCATCTGACCTCAGGAATTCGCATGATAAGGTGGGGCCAGGTTTTACAATGAACACACCCGAAACTCTGGCTGATTGGGACCCACGCCCAGTTTCCCACCTTGGCTCAGGCGATTAGAGGATCATCAGGGGGTCCTTTTGTCCCTCTGTGGGGGGTCACTCCCACTAGGTTTATATCTGGGACTCTCCACCATTTGACCTTAGAACTGAAGAAGCTTCTCGGATGAGAGGTGAAACGTCTTCAAGCAACTTAAAGAAGTCCAGACGCTTTTCTTTGCAAGCTCCTTTGACTACGATGACCTGGATGACTGAGAACCTTCACAGACAATCATTCATTCATTCATTCATTAAGTCAAAGTTAAAGTAAACTTTATTGTCATCTCTGCTATATCCAGTCCAGCATACAGAGAGATGAGATGATGAGGCTCTGGTTTCATCAGTGCAAAGCAAGCTAATAAATAGATATAAAAATGAGAAGAAAATAAATAAATATCCGCTTGAGAGTTACAATTAGAATTTACAGTTGGTGTGGTTTAAAGTGACCAGTGTAGCAGCTTGTAAACCCAGTTCAACCCAGAGTGAATAAGATTGTTCATAGGGCAGCATAAATTGCCCATAGTGTAAATGACCTTTAAATTTGGTAAATATTTTTTACATTTGTTTGAAAGGCACTTTGGTTTTATTTTTGAAATCCGTGCTTTTATTTTGAAACAGGAAACTGGCACAAAACCGCTAAAGGGCTGTTAGTAACGTTTCTTTTAGGATATGATAAATAGTGTGCCTTAAAGTGAAAAATATGTACGTTTACTTTGCCAATTAGTACCTGGCTGACAGTGGCACAAGGTTTGTTAATGTTTTCTTTAACGGAATAAGTTACATGCAATCAAAATGTCGTTTAATAGAGTTTATGTTGTTAACCTTGACCTTGACCTTTATGTGTAGTTGTAAGTTAGTGAGGTGATATAATGAATTGAGTGATGTAAATTTGATGTAAATGCTATATGTGAGCAGGAGAAATTTGTTTCCTTTGATGTTATGGTATTAGTATTGCTGGTTTTGTTTTGCTCCTAGCTCTTACGGTGTCTTCACTGAATGTTTCAATAAAAACTTTTCCAATAAAACCTCTGTGAAGCATCAGTATAAGAGACCATCATTCAGCCAGGGATGCTACACATAGAGTAGCGTGTCTTACAGAGGTAGTGGTGTGCAAAGTGCAAAAAAAGTCAGTTAACAGATTGTGTGGGTGTGTGTGGTGGGGGGGGGGGGGGGGGAGGGAGGGCTGGTAGTGAGTTCAGGAGTCTGATGGATCTGGCCCCGATGCTGCGGTAGCGTCTGCCTGATGAGAGGAGAGAAAAGAGTCCATGTGAGGGGTGTGACGGGTCGAGCACGATACCTGAGGCCTTACTGATGCAGCGATTTGAAAGATGACTGTAGCAGAGGGAGAGATGTTCCAATGATCTTGGTAGCTGCTTTAACAATCCGTTGTAGTTTGCTGAGATCATCAACATTGCAGTTTCCAAACCACACGGAGATGCAGCTGGTCAGAACACTCTCTATTGTCCCTCTGTAGAACATAGTGATGTTGGGAGGAGAGAGGTTGGCCCGCTTCAGACATCTCAGGAAGTGGAGGCGCTGCTGGGCCTTTTTGGTGATGGAGGTGGTGTTGGTGGTCCAGGTGAGGTTGTCTGAGATGTGAACTTACATGTTAGGTATACAGTAATCTGCTATTTGGGGATAATGCCTAGCTATAGCTGAGATCCAATGCGAGTTTCACATTTATGCTTTCAACTTTAATCGTCAGCCATATCTAGGTAATAATGGATTGCATTTATTATAATTATAATAATAATAATGGATACTTTATTGATCCCCATGGGGAAATTACTTGTTTTTCTCTGCATTTGACCCATTCACTCAGTGAAGCAGTGGGCAGCCCACTAAGCAGGCGCCCGGGGAGCAGTGTGTAGGGACGGTACCTTGCTCAGGGGTACCTCAGGGTAGCCGTTAAGTGGATTCGAACCGCCGACCTTCCGATCATATATATAGCGCTTTTTGGGCCCTCAAAGCGCTGTACAGTTCCACTATTCGTTCACTCTCACATTCACACACTGGTGGAGGCAAGCTACAGTTGTAGCCACAGCTGCTCTGGGGCAGACTGACAGAAGTGAGGCTGCCATATCGCACCATCGGCCCCTCTGGCCATCACCAGTAGGCGGTAGGTAAAGTGTCTTGCCCAAAGACACAACGACCGAGACTGTCCGAGCCGGGGCTCGAACCGGCAATCTTCCGGTTGCAAGACAAACTGTCAACTCTCTTTACTACTACTCTAGGTACTTTACTCTTTTGGAAAAAAGGAGTTTATGTGACACTGACACTGACAGCATTTTGCAAGATTTAAGAGGTCGTCAAAGCAGTTTTTCCATATGGTCAAATACAGTGGTCCCCAGTATGCTGTATCCAGTGACCAAAGAATACTGAACTAGGAGTCTTTCTTCCCTCCTGTGTTACTCCAAATCAAATACCCTTGTGTGGTGATGAGTTCTGAGGGTATTTATGTAATCTGTTGGATGGAATCCAGCAAAGTAGTAATCTTGGGGTTCATTGCACTTTTTTTCTATATGTAAATTCCCTTGCTCAACTTTTATCAATAAATGTTTGTATCATTCTCTCAGTCTCTGAAGGCTATTTATTGAGTTTATTTCATCAATTTTCTTACATGGATTTTAGTCATATATAATGCAACTGATGATGTACAACTAATTTAAATATACCTAATATTAATGGTTCTTTTGTTCTGTCTGACTTTTACATACATTTTTCAAGTATTGAATTATACAAACTTAACCACAAGGTCCACATAAGTTAAACATTTGCATGAGCTAAGGGCTACTCAAATACTATACTTCGGTAGTATAGTAATTACTATAGCAATTACGGAGGTTCCATAAAAACAGAAACAGACTGGTCGAGCTGCAAAGATCTGCAGGAAAAAGGGGTAAATTAATCAAATAAATTAAGCACATAGTGCTGATAATAGTGTTTATTGTCTCAGTCTCTCTGTGTTGGTTTGAGCAGAACATTTATGATCCTGTCCAGTTATTAAAAATGAATATTCTACCTGAATATTTTTGACAGTGTACGAGTCCCTTTTGGATCAGAAAGACTCCTACAGCATTATCTACTCTGAGTTTTAAGTGAAACTGAAATATTTGCCAGCTGGTTGACATAGTGCGTCATCATGAACATGATAAATAATCAGTACAGGGAATTTCCAATATCCATAAAAAAGGTCTCTCTTTTATTACAAAATAAATCATCTGGTTGTTAACAAATTATGACAGGAGATACTGGATTCAATCCATGTGGTTTTTGATTTCAAAAATTCAACTGAAAAATAATTTCAGTGATGTGTACAGGAAATTTATTGACACTGTCACAATACTGTTCTGTTGATCTTTTAAATCAAAAATTCACTGGTTTCTTTGTTCTGATGTCCTTGGTATAAATCAACAATCAAAGCATTTGTTTAAGCCTGATTCCTAATTACTTGTGTCAACATCCTGCACAGTGTGCAAATGAGTATTTTCCATTAACAAATCAATTTTCTGTTTTTCTGTGTCTGTTTGCCTAGTTACTGGTGTCTAACACTTCCCCTCTTCCTTGTGTTCAGGAGCTGTGGTAATAGCCTTTGTGGTCTGCTGGCTGCCCTATCACGCTCGCCGTCTCATGTTTTGCTACGTGACTGAGTGGTCAGAGTGAGTAACGATTCCTCTCAGTCTTTCATGCAAGGGAACATTCACTACTTGGTTTAGTCCACGGGTCAGCAACCTTTAACACCCAAAGAGCCACTTGGACTCGGTTTCCACGCAAAAGAAAACACTGGGAGCCGAAAATACTTTTTGAAATCTAAAATGAAGATAACACTGTATACATTGTTTTTTTTTACCTTTATGCTTTGTGTGAATAAGTAAAGTTTATTTATTAAGTGCTTTTCACAGACAGACAGTCACAAAGCGCTGTACACAAATATTAAAATAAACAATATAATCAATAGGAATTATACACAATTTAAAAGATCAAATGTAAATAATGTAAAGAATATAAAATATGTAGATCAACAAAAGGCTTGTTTGAACAGAAAAGTTTTTAACTGCTTTTAAAAAAAATCCACAGAGCAACTAAGGTTTGTTGCTTATAAAATCCATGAAGTGCTACAGAGAAAATTACATTTAATTTATGTAATTAACACATAAATTTGAACTCTTAAAGAAATATAACAAAAGGAAAGACACCCAGCCGAACTAAAATGATCCGGCAAACATAAACTGTTGTGAGCCGCCAACCTTATATCGCCTTTGGGCTTTTGGAGCCTTGACCTGACTTTCAAAAAGTAATTGGAAAAAAAGCACTATGCTGCTAGAAAGTGAAAAATATATATTTGCAAAATTCTGCCTAAATATGTATTTTACCTTTTTAATGTGTGTGGCGGGGTGTGGCCTGCTGCGCCGCTGCAGGGGAGGCGGACGCACCTGAGCAGCACCCGCAATCACGCCTCGCTGCCTTAACGTCTGTGCCATCTATGCTGTTGTGTTGGTATGTGTCGGGCTGTGAGCTGAAAAGCTACAGCCGGCTGTATGCGTACAGCAACCGTGTGTGAAAAGTGGTCAATAAAGAGATGCTGAAAAGCAGCGGGTCTGCCGTGGTACGAAGTCACTTTCATCTTTACGCAGGACTGTAAGCTGTCATCTGTGAGGTGTGAGCGATGTTTGTTTTTAAACATAGTTCACGGTGGAGAACAGCTGCTGACATAATGTTGACCCGAAGATCCATAATTGGCCTACATGGGGTCATTATAGGACCAGATGTTAGCAATGCCTGACAAGACGGAGCTATCTATCTATCTATCTATCTATCTATCTATCTATCTATCTATCTATCTATCTATCTATCCAGTGTCTATATATATCTCATCCTAATTGGACTGACTTCATTTAAAAATCTCAACCTCTCGTTCTTGCCCCCCCCCCACAATTAACCTTTGCATTGTTTCATTAATCAAATCAAACAAACAACATCTCAGCAGCTGAATGGTCCTACTCAAAAAGTCTCTTTCTTCTGTTCCATATGAATAATGGATAACCAGCTGGTAAATGTGGCAGCTGAAAAATCATACATCCAGAGTAATTAAATGCACTTCCTATTCAATGAAACACAGTAACCACACGGCTTCTGTGGCTGGCGCCCCATTAGAGCAACACAAGTTGCAGAGCATGTTTGCTTGTTGCAAAAAAACAAGACAAAAAACAAAACACTTTAGATGATGTGCATAATAATTATGAATAATGAATAATTATCAAAATAGTTTATAATATATGTTTGGTGAATTAACCAAGGTCTTCTGTTCTGCTTCTGTATAATCTACAATTTATATTATTGACATAAAAGTAACTAATGTTCTCAGATAAATAATGAATTTAAAAAGTACTGCCCCATAAGTTTTAAATTTTTAATACAATTACAACTACTCCATTTTTGTATTTTAGTATAGAACTTTATAGTTGTATGCACAGTCCCCTCACAGCAAGAAAGACAAACTCTCAGATTTAAATCTCCTGAGCCTTTCTATTCTGGATTCCTCCCAAAAAGCACATGAATGTTATTTTAAATGGTTAAGAAAATGGGTAGATGATAACGTACATTCCATCTCTCACAATACCAACATGTACCAACATTGCTCTAGTTGCCTAGGTTATCCAGATATGTGTCATTCAAAAGAATCCTTTTCTCCCATCTAGTGGAGTTCCCCCACTTTTCCAGCTGAGGATCATGGCCTCAGATTTGCAGGTGCTGACACTGGATCAGACTTTTACTTTAAAGAAGTAAAGCTGTGTTAACCATCCTAAATAAGAGAGTTTCTGTGTTAACCTTTCATTGGTTTTCTGAATTGTGATGGTTGGGCCCTTTTTCGGTAGGGGGGTGAGAACTCACCACTTTGGGGAATAACGGCCTGTTTTATTTGTTTTATTGGATTTCTTTATTTTTTTGAGTGTTTTGGGGTTTTTCTTTCTGTTACTTGTGTTCTTCAGGGCCCCGTTAACATTGGTGTACGGTGTAGGTTCATGAGGGTCAGTTGAACAAATAAAAGGGTTACACGTGATTTAAAAGTGACTGTAGTATGTTTCTGTCAAACCAGGTTGTCTTGGAATAGGGGCACCTGGGTTATCTGGTTGGGTACAGGTATGTGGGGCTAGGCTGAGTTAATGCTCGACAGCGTAGTGCACTCCGGGCAGCCGTTGTTCGCAGGTTTGAGCCCTGGAGCCCCCCCCCTTCTGCGCTAGCAACAGCTAAAACCATTCTTACAGTAGTAAGTATCCAGGTCAACTGTACTAGGGGAGGTCACGGACCCAGATCCCACTACCCCCTAGTCGTTCAAGGCAGCTTGTGCACTTCTATACCCTTACATAACGGGGCTAGCAGCCCCTTACACAGGGACAGGACCAGACGGTGTGGAAACCTCTAGCAGATCAGAAACAGGACCTGAATCAGACAGTGTAGAAACCTCTGGCAGAGACAGAGTGAGGTGGAGCTGTGCAGGACACACAGCCAGCCCAGGATGCTATGGCTGGGGCTGTGCAGTGTACGCAGTCTGTTCAAATGGCTCCACTGGCATCAACAGCAATGTGGAGTATCTAGTTGGCTGGATAAGCTTACCTGAGCTCCCAGCTGAAACAGGTGAAGGCTGGGTCGACTCATCTGAGCTCCCAGTTGGTGATACAGAAAACTGAGACAGCTCACCTGAGCCACCAGCTGACTGCAAAGGAAGCTGGGTTGGAGCAAATTACAAAGCCTGATCAGGATGCTCTAACGGCAGCAGCTGAAGTTATTGTGAGGGGCTGGCCTCACAACAGCCAGAACCTGTTACCTTCCTTCCAATTACCAGCCCTCCCCACCCAAGGAGCATGGACGGGTGCAAGGACAGGCAGGGTCCCAGCTGCCCTTACCCTAGGAACGAGTACAGACTCATGAACAGGCCAAGTTGCCTCTACCCGAGGGACATATACAGGTGCAGAGGAAGACTGAGTCACGGCTGCCTTCACCTGGGGAACAGGTAACGGTTGGACACCAGCTGTTCCCACCCAAGGAACAGTTGGGGACAGCTAAGAGTGGAGACAGTCTCAGAGTACCGACCGAGTGGCACAAAACACTATACACAGTTTTTGAATGGGTGACCCTAGGAAAAGAAAACACAGCTTCTGAGAGCTGGGAAACACACAGTCCAGTTTATTTGGGGCCCAGTTTGGGTTCAACACAAACAGAAACAGAAACTTCTGCTTCTTCAGATTTAGAAACAAAATCAAAGTTTTCGAGCTTCAAAGAAAAACAGTCTGTATGAACTGATGAGATTGGCCAGCTCCTGGGCTCACAGCGAGTGAGATCCCTTTCCCTCTCGAGGTGAGCAGAATCTGCTGGGTCTATGGTGTGGTCGCATTGTTCTGTGAAGATTGCATTGTGTGGCTGGCAGGATTGGACATGGATGTGAACATCTGAGCATAGCAAACATAAAACGTAAACTAAACAAGAAACTAAACTAGGGAGCTAGGAAAACAATAAACAGAAAAACTAGGAGCCAGGAGCTAACTAGTAACCACTCGGGGAAACAAGGAACATGGGAGAGACACACAGGAACATGAGGGACGACGTGACAACAGGCAGAGGGAAACACAGGGCTTAAATACACAGAGAGATAACGGGGGAATGAGACACAGGACGATAGCACAGCTGGGAGTAATCACACACAACGAGACTGGGGAGAAGCAAAACTGAACACGCTGCACACACCAGACAAGGAACTGTCAAAATAGAACAGGAAACATGAGACACAGAATGAGAACCGGGGAAGAACGGACATGAAAACTGAAGTTGACTAGACATGACACAAGGAACACAGGGGAGACACAGAGACGGAACCCAACAGACTAGAAACTATCCGGTTGTTCAGTCTGACGTCACTAGCCGTGTCTGGGTCTAAACTCCGCTGCAGGTCCATATATCAAACGATCACTATGGCATTACTGAGAGTTGAAAAACTGTCTAAAGTCTTTCATCTTTAATAAAATGATCAGCGTTCTGCTCTACCAGGTGTAACAATTGAGTTTGACGTCCAGGCATCCATGAAAACGGAATTTATGACATTTAACGGAGTTAGAAGTTAGCAGGGAGTTAGCTCGCTAGCTTCTATCTAAATACAATATAACACGTCCTGACTGCGGCGGTTTGGAAACAAATTAAATCGTACAGCTCTACTATCACTTCCAGCATAAATGAAGACAGAAAACGAAACAGCAGTGACGTTTGTAGGGTTACTGAAGTTGGGCTAGCTGGTATATAATGATGTGCTACGTGACCGCTAGCGACACAGCTATGTTAGCATAATATAAACAAGCTAACTTTTTTTCCACTCGATAAAAGTTAACGTGAGTGTTCTCGGTGGTCAGGAACAAATGTAATCGCATGGCAGGATGCTGTAAAAGGACCAAACTTCAGCCAGGAGAACAACTGAGATAATCCATCCACAATACGAGGTTAGTCATTCATATACTGCTGCATGGCTGGGCTGTAGTTACATCCTAAGGTTTTAAAACTGAGCTTAAATAAATGATTAGCGGTAATAAAGGCGAGGAAGTCAACAGTGATCACTGACTGTTTTAGGAGCTTTTTGAGATCAAATAGAAGAAAATACAAAACATTAAACATG